GGGACATCGATACCTCAAAGGCAATGGGACCGGACAACATCTCTCCATGGGTCCTTAGAGAGGGAGCAGATATGTTGTGTGTACCACTTACCACAATCTTCAACACATCCCTGGAAACTGGGCAAAATACCTGAGGTATGGAAGACGGCAAATGTAGTTCCCATTTTCAAAAAAGGGGGACAGAAAAGAGGCACTAAACTATAGACCTGTGTCATTGACGTGTATAGTATGAAAAAATTATGTTGAAGATTATCAGGAGGAGAGTGGTGGAGCCCCTGGAACGGAACAGGAGTATAAATGCCAACAGCACGGATTCACGGAAGGAAAAATCCTGTGTCACAAACCTTCTGGAGTTTTATGATAAAATAACAGAAGTAAGACAAGAGAGAGAGGGGTGGGTTGATTGCATCTTCTTGGACTGCAAGAAGGCCTTTGACACAGTTCCTCACAAGAGATTAGTGCAGAAGCTAGAGCATCAGACGCATATAACAGGAAGGGCACTGCAATGGATCAAGAATACCTGACAGGGAGGCAACAACGAGTCATGGTACGTAATGATGTATCACAGTGGGGCCCTGTGACGAGCGGGGTCCCACAGGGGTCGGTCCTAGGACCAGTGCTATTTTTGGTATATGTGAACGACATGACGGAAGGGTTAGACTCAGAAGTGTCCCTGTTTGCAGATGATGTGAAGTTAATGAGGAGAATTAAATCTGATGAGGACCAGGCAGGACTTCAAAGAGACCTGGACAGACTGGACACCTGGTCCAGCAAATGGCTTCTCGAATTTAATCCTGCCAAATGCAAAGTCATGAAGATAGGGAAGGGCACAGAAGACCACAGACAGAGTATAGGCTAGGTGGCCAAAGACTGCAAACCTCACTCAAGGGGAAAGATCTTGGGTGAGTATAACATCGAGCATGTCTCCGGAAGCACACATCAATCAGATAACTGCTGCAGCAATGGGCGCCTGGCAAACCTGAGAACAGCATTCCGAAAACCTTAGTAAGGAATCATTCAAGACACTGTACACCGTGTATGTCAGGCCCATACTGGAGTATGCAGCACCTGTTTGGAACCCGCACTTGATAAAGCACGTCAAGAAACTAGAGAAAGTACAAAGGTTTGCAACAAGGTTAGTTCCAGAGCTAAGGGGAATGTCCTATGAAGAAAGATTAAGGAAATCGGCCTGACGACACTGGAGGACAGGAGGGTCAGGGAGACATGATAACGACATATAAAATACTGCGTGGAATAGACAAGGTGGACAAGGACAGGATGTTCCAGGGAGGGACACAGAAACAAGAGGCCACAATTGGAAGTTGAAGACACAAATGAGTCAGAGAGATAGTAGGAAGTATTTCTTCAGTCATAGAGTTGTAAGGCAGTGGAATAGCCTAGAAAATGACGTAGTGGAGGCAGGAACCATACACAGTTTTAAGACGAGGTTTGATAAAGCTCATGGAGCGGGGAGAGAGAGGGCCTAGTAGCAACCGGTGAAGAGGCGGGGCCAGGAGCTAGGACTCGACCCCTGCAACCACAAATAGGTGAGTACAAATAGGTGAGTACACACATATACACACACATATATACACACACATACACAAACACACACACACACACACATATATACACACAAACACACATACACACACACACACACAAACACACACACACACACACACACACAAACACACACACACACACACACACACACACACACACACACACACACACACACACACACACACACTAAGTACGTGCCGGTAAGTCCCAGGAGGTTGGGGGTCAGGTCACAAGAAGTTGTGGGCAGCCAAGGACCACTGAGACTTACATTACAACGCACAAGCCACCTACCTTTCAATACATAATAAACCCACACATAATTCCACACAAAATTACACACAAAATTAACACACACACACACACACACACAAAACACAAACACACACACACACACACACTCACACATATCCAGACTCACACATACACTCCCCCCCTCCCCCACCGACATCTCACTACTTCCCCTGATCCCTCCCCTCCCTCGATCACCCTCCCCTCCCCCGTTCACCCTAAACCCTCCCCACCCCTCCCCAATCCTCTCCCACATGGCCACAGTTCCTCCACACTTTGACATACACACTACTAACCTAACATACAGAACTACATAGGTTTCCCACTCTGAGGCAATCAGGATAAAACAAAAATGGGTTGCCAGAGAGCAACAAGAAAAACCAAGGGACAGGAGGAGGAAACTGCAAAGGAAGATTGGGCAGCAGAGCTCATAAAAAGGGATCATGATTGGGAAAAGAAACTAGAAGAACTTAGCATGAGAATGGAAGAGAGGATAGATATGGAAAGCAGGAAGTGGGAGGTGCATGTCAAAGCAGCAGAAGCTAGGATACAGAGTTTAGAAGAGGAATTGAAAAATCTGAAACAGCCTAAAGAACTAAAGAACATTTTGGGATTGACAACAGAGACTGCTACCTCAGCCACAAATAAGGGGACTGTAGGGGAAAGAAGGGGCACGAGGCACAACTGCATGGAAAGCTCATCAGAGGGACTGTAGCAAGTGAAGAGACTATGCTTTTATGTGGAGGGGAGGCCCTAACAGAACAACAACAGAGCCCAAGGAAAGCCAGAAGGGAAAAATCACAGGCCACTGAGCCCAATACTTTAGCGGTGAAAAATTGGTGAAAGGAAAGCTTGCAGTGGAGGAGGGGAAACAAATTAAATGATGGGGATACACAGGGATATGCAGTGGGAGAATGAAAGGGGTGAGGTCAGTCTTTGTGTATGGGCTACAGGAAGTTTAAAGGGGGGGAAAACCTATGAAAGCAAGAAAACAAGCGGGAACAAAAAGCAATTGAAAGCATCATGAGCAATGGAGAAGGACGAATGACCCAGCTGGAAAATTTCGGAGAATAGGGGGGTTTGGTGAAAAAAAGAACCCGGCCAGTGAGAGTGACCTTCAAGGCAGAAGCGACTCGGACCAGGATCCTGCAGGAGAAAGCACGATTAAGAGACATGCCGGCATACAGGAAGGTGTATCTCGACCGCGACAGAACACAAGAAGAAAGGCAGAAACTGAGAGAGATGGTACAAAGGCGAAAGGAGGAAAGAGGGTGGATGGGAGAAGGACAGACAGGAGATCCCAGACCCAGGAAGAAGATCAAATACAGCCTCCCTCACAACTTCCTATAGAAGCCTCCCAAGATAACACCGCATAAGTGTTCGCGATAAAATTAACAGAATTCTTGGCTTCATAACAGGAAGTATAAATAATGGAAGTCCTCAGGTTGTTCTTCAATTCCATATATCTTTGGTTAGGCTTCATTTAGATTATGCTGCGCAGTATTGGTCACCTGAATCTGCACTCTCCAAGAACAGGCGTAGAATTAGGGGTTGTTATAAATGGAAAACAGGATTAATAAGTGGTTGTAAACCAGTCGTGCTAAAAAATATCTACTTAGACAGGACTCGCAGAAATGGTTTAAAACTGGGAAAAATTCTGATTCAGGAAAGCACTGGTTTGATGAGTGGAACAAATTCGTGAGTTACGTCATAGAAGTTAAGACCTTGATTAGTGTTTTAAAAAAGGTTGGATAAATACATGACGTGGGTTTGGTTTTTTTTTTTGGGTGGGTAAGAGTTGGACCTGACTAGCTTTTGCTACTAGGTCGGATGCGTGCTCCTCACTAGGTCAGGAATTGGCCTTAAGCTGGTGGGAGAATTGGACCTGCCTCGCACAGGCCAGTAGCCTGTTGCAGTTGTTCATCCTTTTTTATGTTATGTGCTTATTTACTCTGCTTATTTAATTAGTATCTTCCCATCCAACCTATGTACAATGAACATAAGCAATTCCTTGATTGTTTCTGTGTGATAGGTGGAGTCAGTTCCTCAGTAACTTTCAACTTAGATTGTTACATTTGTTATTTCAACTAATTCATTATTTTGCCCTTATGCTGGTGAGGGGTATTGTCATGTGTAACTGGACTTATTGTCCCCTAGCTTTTTTCGAATTTGAAAATAACCATTAATGCCATTGAAGTCGTTCATTCCATACAGAATTAAAATTTCCACTGCTTTAAATATAAAAAATTGTTTACTGCATCAATCTTCAATGATGCATTTGCATGAAATAGATGTGTAAAACGTTGACATTATTTTGGATTCTGTGCAATAACTGGAAAAATTCTTCTTTAGTCAAACTTAGTGTCGTTGTGTTTGTTTGATATAACTGGAAGAATGTCTCTTCTGGGTTTAAAATGGTCGCAGGGTCTAACCAGATATGGTTAAATCAACTTATTGTTTTTTTCAAGTGTCTGTAACATTGATGCGCCATAAACTAATTTTTTACTGTTTATGGTGAGGACCTGGGGTTTGGAGTTACTAGATGTTTGTGTACATCCAGTTGTTTTGGTGCTTTCTTTAGTTTAGTTTCTTTAGTTTAGTTTCTTTAGTTTAGTTTTAGTGAGGTGTGGATCATGGTGAGGTGTGGATCATGGTGAGGTGTGGATCATGGTGAGGTGTGGATCATGGTGAGGTGTGGATCATGGTGAGGTGTGGATCATGGTGAGGTGTGGTCATAGTTAGGTGTGGTAATAGTCAGGTGTGGTTTATGGTTCATGGTTTATGTTTCCGGGTGGTTGGATGGGCGGGTGTGATCATGGTCAGGTGTGGTTTGTTTCCAGGTCTCCATCCGTGGGCCCCCGGATGTCAACCTTTCCAGAAGTCCAGAAGTCCAGAAGTCCATCTGTGTCCCCTCAGATGAATTCCCAGGTGTGGATCATGGATCGTAGATGTGATCATGTGGAGGTCATAGTCAGGTCTGATCATAGGTGAGGTCATAGTGAGGTGTGGTCATAGTCACGTGTGATTTATGTTTCCGGTTATTTTGGTGCTTTCCCTAGTTCCGTGTGTCCAGAAGTCCACCTGTGTCCCCTCAAATGAACTCCCTTCCTCACTTTCCCAGGTGGGCGGGTGGCTTGTTGTGTAGGTGGGTGGTTGGGTTTTTGGGGTGGGCGGGTGTGTGTGTGTGATCATGGTGTGGTGTGGTCATAGTCAGGTGTGGTTTATGTTTCCAGGTCTCCAGCCGTGGGCCCCCAGAAGTCAACCCTTCCACATTTCCCACTCCCGGTTGTCTTGGTGCTTTCCCTAGTTCCGTGTGTCCAGAAGTCCACCTGTGTCCCCTCAGATGAACTCTCTTTCCTCAACATCTACCCAGGTGGGCGGGTGCTGGGTGGGTTGTTGGGTGGGGGGTTGATGGGCGGGTGTGTTGTGTGTGTGTGTGTGTGTGTGTGATCATGGTTGGGGTGGTCATAGTTCAGGTGGGTTTATGTTGCACAGGTCTCCAGCGTGGGCCACCAGATGTCAACCCTTCCACATTTCCCACTCCCGGTTGTCTTGGTGCTTTCCCTAGTTCCGTGTGTCCAGAAGTCCACCTGTGTCCCCTCAGATGAACTCCCTTCCTCACTTTCCCAGGTGGGCGGGTGGCTGGGTGGGTGTTGGGTGGGTGGGTTGGATGGACGGGTGTGTGTGATCATGGTGGGGTTGTGTGGTCATAGTCAGGTGTGGTTTGTTTCCAGAGTGTTCCATCCGTGGGGCCCGGATGTCAACCCATTCCACATTTCACACTCCGGTTGATTTTGGTTGCTTTCCCTAGTTTCGTGTGTCCAGAAGTCCCACCTGTGTTCCCCTCAGATGAACTCCCTTCCTCACTTTCCCAGGTGGGCGGGTGGTTGGGTTTTTGGGTGGGTGGGTGCGTGGGTTGTTGGGTGAGTGGGTTGTTGCGTGAGTGGGTTGTTGCGTGGGGGGTTGGTTGGGTGGACGGGTGTGTGTGTGTGTGTGTGTGTGTGTGTGTATGTGTTGGGCCCCTCCCCGTAACCTTGGTTGGATGGGTATTTGTCTGTCTAGCTGGTCTACTGACGAGATGTCCAGTGGATTACAGGAGGGGACACACAGTAAACTGGTCCTGTAAATACACCCACCCAAAGACAGCTTGGAACAGCAGAACAGCCCAGAGACAACACCAAGTGCCTCCCAAAACTCGGCCACAAGGTGAGGTTACTTAGTGATAATCTCGGACTTCTATTTAAGTTTCATTATGTGTTAAAGTTGATTTTTGTTTTGTTTTCACTAATGCGCTTTATAAGTGTACTGTGAATGTTTTATCGTTATAGAAGTGTGTTCCGTGTGTTTCATTCTGTTTCCCACCATGAAATCTGCCTACAAAAAAAGTTATCAGCTTTCTATTTTGTTAAAAAACATCATTTTTCCTATATGAAAGACACTGGAAACTTCCAAGTACACAAGTACATTCACACACACACACGATAACCACGGACAAATGTATTTCTCTCGTCCCTCTCCTATATCTAATAGTCTTTTGCGGAGGCAAAAACCAGAAATAAAGGAATTCTTTAGCCTAAGTGCTTTAATGAATCTTGTACTTTCCTACATCTTCCACAACAGTGTCTCCCACAATGGTATTTGTTTCCCAAAACAATTATGTTGACTCAAAATTCCCAAAAGTTCACTTAAACATTCTCAGAAACAACACTCTCTCATCCACACTAAAAATATCTCCATTAATAAAGTCGCCCTTCACGGTAGTCTACATTTGTGCAAGACAGGTATACAATACCGACAAGATGAAAATTAAGACACTTGTGCAACATCTGGTTATCTTTATTGTAGACGTTTCGCCATCCAGTGGTTTTATCAATACAGATTCTTGGACATAATTAGAAAACAGAAGAACTATATACAAAAGATGAGGTAATCAGTCCCTCAGCCTTGGAGGTGGTGTTTACAGCACCATGGTTGTAGAGATTCTGAAGCACAGGTAAGGAGACTGGCGCTTATATAGGCGTCAGTGAATAGGGACGCGTAGCAGACGAGGGCCTAGTCACTGGTAGGCGGGATTCCCCAGTGGAAGTAGGTCCTTCCCAAATTGATGGGCTAGTTGTCGAAGTCGTGAAGAAGGTCAAGTAGATGTCCTCTAATCAAGATACCATGGATGTTTGCAGTTGATGAACAAGAATGTGCAAGACAGGTATACAATACCGACAAGATGAAAGTTAAGACACTTGTGAACATCTGGTTATCTTCATTGTAGACGTTTTCGCCATCCAGTGGCTTTATCAATACAGATTCTTGGACATAATTAGAACAGAAGAAACTATATACAATTATGCACAACCTGTCAGCACTGCTTTATCAAAGAGTCCCCCACCCCTCCCCCCCCCCCTCTCCCCCCCCTATTGATAGAGCATTTACGATTTCCGCCCACTTTCCCAGCTATAACAAACAATAAACATATGAACATCACAACACAAAATATTATACTGTGGTATGTGAATATTATAGTACATCACATTATAAAGTAGTATCGGAAACATTAAAAAATGTGTAATTTCCAGACTACGGGAACGATCATCCATGAATGCTGCTGCATGTCTCTCTCTTTCCGCCCATCCACCCTAACTCACTCTCTCTCTCTCTCTATTTATCTGTCTATCTATCTTTCGCTCTTTCTCTCGCAGTCTCTCGTCTCTCCGCGTTTGCGCAATAGCTAGAGGAGCTTCAGACCCGGGTATTGACATATTATATATTATGGACTTGAAATCTGTTGACCCACGGGTAATGGATACGAGAGTTATTAACGTAGGAGTTCTGACGCCAGAGGCAGTGTACATTTAAGCTATAGATACTGAGGGATTGAACCTGGAAACTATAGAGAAGGAAAAATGTGAACACGGAAGCAATGTGCACGAGAATGTGAGCTCAAATGCAACTTATAACTGTACAGATTTGCAGATGGAATGATTGCAGAGTAGGAGGAGAAAGAATTCAAATACCTTTTGAACGTAAAGGATATATAAAATCTTTGTAGCGCCTGGAGGATTAGGAGGATGAGTTGAGAGTTACCGGGCAGTGTTACATGGTTTTAAAGAAGTTGACGATGTCTTGTACATCATCCCAAGACGCTCAACATGTAAAATCTTAAAAACAACATAGATTTTCCATTAAGTTTCTCTTGGAAGAGGATATACTGGCAGTTCTAGGTATAAATAAAACAACTAAGAAAAAAGACGACCTTTGCAATTTTCAGTTATATTTCGCAAGTTATATTAGCAACGCTTTCTCCAATCTATATTATCCTCCCCTTTTATACTGACTATAGGATAAAGCAGAAAAGATCACTATTGCTAGTCAACAACGCACCACGAAGAGATTCATCGTCTAGTTTTGGTAACCAATCCGTTTTGAACATATAACATGTTATTGTTTAAGAGTGATACCGAAAACAGCACACATTCTATATGGGTCGTCGACTGACAAAATTTGTTGGCGAAATCTCATGAAAGTACACACAAAGAAACTTTTGAACACTGCTACGTTTGCCAGAGAAAATGCCTTGAAAACAATCCTTGTTGCTATTCATCGAAAAACTTCCTGTGGACAATTTCATTTGATTTCAGAATGCTACATTAGTCATCAGGAAGTCCGTTCGTCGCAGCAGACGGTGTTGAAAGTTATCTCTCATCACTACTAGCACCACCTTAACTCAGAATATAGGGAAATCATTATATTAAAAGTTAGCATTGATGAATTTACGGAGCAGCAGAACACAGCCATCGCCAGCTCCGTCCATTACTTCCTCTCAACGTACCTTGCACTGACGGTGACCTGACCTCCGCCACTGAAGAATCCATTAGTGGGAGAGACATATCCTCAACTAGTTGCATATCAGTCTCTGCTCGATCTGATCAATGTATCCAAGTATTCCATAATCCCAGTTCCACTGATGCCTCGTGCAAGCATTGGAAAAGTGCAGAGTGCAGCCATAGGTTGATAAAACGCATTTAGATATTAGAATTATATATTTGAGGTGAATCAGAAGAGGCATTCACATGTCATGTAGAAAATAAAATCCGAATTTCTTTAATAAAAATGGTAAATTATAGCATATGCAGCCCAAATCTAATTCATACCTTTAAGAGACCAATATCCTGAAAATACACAATCACATTAATCTTCAAAATTGAAATATAAAGTTATCGGTTTGGAAGGTCTGAAGTGAGTCAGATCCAACACTCAGGAAATTATCCCTCGAAAAACATTTCACCATTTTTAAATATTTCTTCCGTAAAAAGCACCCTTTTAAGGAAGTACAGTAGCAGTAAGTTTTATGTTGATTAGTCCATACATACAAGTTTTTAATAATGGCCAAGAAGTCTCACGGCTTGTTATAGCCATATATAAAGTAAATAAATTATTTTAAAATTAGGGGACGAAAAAGTAAATTATCTCACAAAACTAATTTTTTGAATAAATCGGAACCTTCTACTAACCATTAACTTCAGTTCTTACTAACCTACCTCAACAGTTTGCTTACCTCTGTGGAAAACACATAGGACTTAAAGTTTAAAGATCGCCATGAAGACTGATGTATGCCTTTCCTAATTTCTACATGTAAGGCAAGATCAATGCTTAACGCGGCCTCTGGCATAGTAGGCATTTAATTCCTATCAAGAAAACGTAAGCGAAGTCCAGTTTGGGTTAAGAACCCTCACCAGTGTCAAGGGTTTAGGTTAGGTAAGAGTTCGTCAGGAAACAGGACAAGTGTTTCCTTGATGCGGGTCTTCGATGATTATCCGTCTGTTGGAGATTTTGGCTATCTGACGAGGCCTTCCGCTGGCTTACCGGTCCACCCCCTTTAAATATTATGGCAGTGTCATGGGAAAATAATGTAATAATGTAAGTTAATCTAAACCATTTTGAGAAGAATAGTTGTGGCTACAGCAGCTATCATTCCTGGGGTTAAATCCGAGTGGGAATCTGTAACAAGTGGCGTTCCACAGGGATACAGTCTTTGGGCCCGTTGTTGTTTATAATATATATATCAATGTTCTTGATGAGGGAACTTATAGTGATATGAGCAAATTTCGCCGATGACACAAAGATAGGTAGGATAATTGATTCAAACGTAGATGTTATGGAACTTCAGGAGGATTTAAAACAAAACTTCTCTTGGTCAGAAAAGTGGCAGATGCGTTCAATGTAGATAAATGCAAGGTTATGAAGCTTGGGAGTGCAATAACCCTAAGTACTTGTTAAGTTAAATGATGTAGAAACTTAGCCATTACTGATTGCAAAAAGGACTTGGGGTTATGGTGAGCAGCAACTTAAAACCAAGACAAACCAATGCCAAGCATACGTAATAAGTGCCAATAGATTATGGGATTTTATCAAGAAGTGTAAGCAACAGATGGTCAGAGGTCATACTGCAGCTTTATACATCATTAGTAGGATCAACCTAGTTATGCAGCTCAGTTCTGGTCTCCATATTTACAGAAGGACATAATTCGTTAGAAATCATTCAGCGTTGGATGGACTAAATTAATACATAGCATTAGAAATCTTCCTTTTGAAAGAAAGATTGAAAGACTTTAAGTTACATTCTCTTGTTAGACGATGAATGAGGGGAGACCTGATAG